AGAAAAAAGGCATAAATACTGAGATTAGTGAGAGTATTTCCAGTTAGTATTTCAGACTTTGAGTACCAAAGTAATTCATCTGCCCTCCCATTTTAGATATATATCAAAAAAGTCTTCAAATTCAACCACTGGGGATCTTTTGTTGAGGGTTTTTTTTTTTTTAAACTACATGCACGTTGATAGCACAATGTTTCTGCAATGTTTCTACTTGGTAATTACCAAGTGTTCCTTCAGGCATTTAGAGGAAAAATCAATACATTATTTTACCTGTCACACCAGCAGACAATGTAGACAAGCAAAGCCTGCAAAAACACTGGTTTTAATAGTCATTGCTTTTACATGTAGAAGGCTTCCACCTACTCAAAGGCAATGGAAACATTTCAGTTACCTTGAGTGCTAAAAGGCTCTTGTTAATTTCCGCGCCTTCCAGTCGCGTCTGCCTATCTGCACTGGAAGTATCTGCTCCTCTTTCATTGCCAGCCAAATCAATCAGAGAAAATTTACCATGCAATTTCCCTTTCCTTCTGAGAATAATCTGAAATACTGCATGGCTTCGAGATGAGTGTGCATTTGCAGATGTCTGGCCAGATGTCCTTTAAACAAAAGGAGAGAAGGGAAGGACATATGAACAGGCGAAGGACCATACATGTTAAACACACTAACCTCAGTAGTTTTTTCAGGGCAGAGTTCTGTATTTTCTTACATGTGTTGACAGCATGTCTAAAGTTCATGTGGACACTAGAAATACCACCCCAATAATTGGATGTACATAGTACAATTATACCTCTTTTTCCATCTCTGCAAACAGAAATGGAAGATCAGTAACATTTTACCCCCCTTTTAAAAGCAAGAATAATCAGATCTTCAAAGATTTCAGATTATCAAAGAGCTTACATGTAAAATGCTGATGGTATTTTTATCTTATCAGGCAGCAGTCTATGCACAAGGCTAATTTTAAAAACAATGAAGCTGGATTCTTAAAAAAACCCAAACTTTTATACTTAACATCTGTCACTACATATCAAGGCCTTTTAGAACTGAAGAATCTGGCAGTATTCCAGATTATAAAAGATGTGAATTTTAGTCAGTAAGCTGGTTACATAATGCATGCAGTTCACATCCTGCAGAAAAATCAGTTCTTATTTCTCTCTAGGAGACAGAGAAAATCTAAATATCTTTATTCAAAAGGTAGGCAGATTCCTTACTTGCAGCCAACATCATCAAAAACCGCACTGCACATTTAAAAGCCATCACTATGAAGAGACCCCAAAAGAATCTTGTTCCGATTCTTTACTGTACAATGAAGAACTGGTGGAAGCTATGGGAGATACCTGCAGCTGTTGCCTATTTCAATAAGCTTAAGAACATCTTCAACACATTTGACTTCCCGTTCCTGTAATCCCACCACCTGGACTTGCTGTTTACCATCTTCTAACACTCTTAATTTTGTCTTCCTGTTCAACAAGTCAAAAACCTTAGGGAGGGGGGGAAAACAGAACAGTTAAAGAGGAGCTTGAAAACACACTTTTATTTCAAATCCCGTACCAAAATATGCAAAGCATTCCATGGAAAAACATGATTGGAAGGGAAGTGTAAATAATTATTTGAAAGAAAGCTTTCAGTACAAAAAAGAAAAAAATCTTTTATGGGATAAGCTCAAAATCTTGTTTGTGCAAGAGAAATTCCCCTTTCCTCAAAGAAAGATCAGGTACCTACCTTACCACTGTAGATCTCAAAAAATGTTGCATATACTTGAAGTTCTAACTTCTTATAGTTTGGCTTCTTTAGCATTAAAAAGACATCTCGAGCTGTGAATACATTTCCAGAATAAAAAGAAATCTCGTTATGTATTTTCATTTAGTGAAGACTCATTAATGCATAACAGTCTATTTTACAGCATCTCTCATATTTTGCAAGTATAAGCAATAGTCAGTCAACCAAGTCTGAAACACTGCAGTTTTAACTGCCACATTACATCGGAAGATGCAGAAGACCCCAAAATTATAAACTTAATTAATCATCCATTATATTTATTACATTTTTTGAAATAATCTATATATACATATAGATATGTACATATATGTACATATAGATACAATATATATACACATATACATTACTTTACTGTGTAAAGAATATACATCTAGAACTACTTTTGATGTTACCAAAGCTCCACTGTAATGCAAAATATGTAGACACTTATGTTTGTACAACAGGGAGTAGAAAATTTATTGATCTCAACTAATTTGCAAAAAGCCAACAGACCAATAAAGTCTCACCTGCAAGTGCATATATTCCTTTAGAACAATCTTGGTTCTTTCCTGAAAAGTCACCACCCATAGTCTAAATTAAAAAAAAAGACAAGACAAAAATACACTATAAAGATCACAGAACTGTAACTTATGAATTTGTTACTTATTAGAATTTATCTAAGTGTATCGTACATAAAAAGAAGTGTATTGCTGACATGTAGAAGAAATACTTACATGGGTTTTTCCACTGCCTGTTTGCCCATATGCAAAACAAGTGGCCATTCCCCTTTCAAATATGGTCTCCACTAATGGTCGAGCTGTAAACCTTAAATGCAAAAAACAACAGTACTTAAGAAACTGAATTACTTGAAGATGCTACTACCACAAGGATACTATAAATTTTAAGGCCCAAAGTGACAAAGCTGGTCCTGTACTTTGAGAGGCCAAAGGACATCTCCACATTAATTCCTGAACTAAAGAGACTACCAGTTCTAAAGCATTAAAATATCCCAAACAATCATATAAAAGCTACAAGGTCTCTCCCATTTATGTTACAACTACATTATCCTTCTTTAAACCCTAAGAAAAATAATTTTATTGTTTTAATGATGCAACACAGCACAGCTTACTATGTGGAGTTTGGAGCTCCCTAAAGAAGACAGCGTTAGAAGACATGGAAGTAGGACAGTGGAGCAGATAAATACTTAGGTTTTGACAATACTAAAATTCTGCTATAGTTTTGGTTTTGTTTTTTTCCTCCACAAATCAGCTTCCAAGATTAAATTTAGAAGACAGGTGGCCAAAACATTGCACGTCTTAACATTTTGAGAACATACATACACTGAGAAAAGGCTCAGGAAAACATATATATCCAAGCTCTTCAGAATGGAAAAATCTAGTTATCCCTGAAGTATTATTTGATGTGTCAAAAAATATTATCTAACGTATCATTTTTCTATTTTAGAGAATTAATTTTACCTTAAAAAACATAGAGTTATCGCTCCTACTTCGGCTGCTTATCACCATTATTTCATGAAAAACTCCAAAAGGAAAGGGTAACCTAATGGAGGGTTACCAATGGAGGTAACAGTATCTATGCAAAAGTCTCTCTTTCTAAACTTCTTCCAGGTGTTTACACATAAAGTACCTTTAAGTGACAGAAACAGGAACAATTGTTTACAGAAACACTAAGGTATTACAACTTCCTTTCATTCCACTTTGGACCAAACACAAGATTGCTTACAAAAATAATATGGGTAAGACCGAGCCATTGAGCAGCCAAGGGTTATGCAAAAATCTAAGTTTAACTGAATCTTGAATTTTCATCAAAAATATACCAGATGGCTCCTCATGAGCCTTAGTCTTTCTTTTTTGCTTCCTCTAAACATATACTTGCTTTGTCCTCAAGAGGATATTCCCATATTTTGGTGTTTGTTCTTTTTATATATAAAATACAAAATTTCACAAAGCCTATCCACCTAAGAAGCACACTCCATTACCTCTGTTTAACTGAGTTTGAAATTATTTATTTTGCTGATTTATAAAAAAGGGACTTAGTTATGCCTATTTTAAAGTAAGGCAAAATACAAACTTATCTAGAAAAGTTTTCATAAAGCATTATACAACTCCAAATGGTACCATGTCAAAACAGTCCAACTTTACTTTTACTAGAACCTTTATTTGCAATCTTGATATTCCAGAAATGTAAACTCTGGTTCTCCTTTAAAATTCAAAAGGCATATCCATTCAAACTAGTGAGTGTATTTTGATATTAATGAAAACTTGCAACTCAGTGTTGCGGCTCATGAATTCAAAAATACTTAAAATATAGCGTAAGCAAAATAATAATTTTAACAAAAGAGTAGTACTTTTTTTCCTTCAAACTGAAGAACATTTTTCAGTTTAGAAATACAGTGAGTAATTTTAGCATACTGGAGAAAACTGGAGTAAGTTGCCACACTATTTTTCTCCCCACTGTGACCCCAAAGTTCTGGTGACAGCAGATGATGACACCTATCTTGCTCTTACTTCTGTTATTACAGGAGACCTTGAAGCAGACTGCCTTTCAAGTAATAATAATTATTGTGCCATATGAGGGAGAAGGAAAAAGCCTGTACTGCTACACAGACTGGAAGTATGTGTATATTTCAGTATGAATACAACCATCTTTCAATATCTTCCCATATTACCACTAATTACGTAACTAATAAAAATTGCCCGGAGGAAACTGAATACAAAAATATAACAACATTTTATGCCAAAACACCCCTCACATTTAAACACTACGCTCGCAAAGATAAGTAACAGGAAGGAGGGAGATTAAAAGAACTGGTTGTTAAGCCGGAGAAGAACTATTGCAAGAGGCACGCATCACCAGCTACATCGCTCTCCCGCAGCTCCTCAGTATTGAGAACGGAAAGATGCTACCAGTAGACAACCATTAGAGATAGAAATCTCCAAAGCCACAGCTTGGCTGTTTACAAGTCTTTTGTTAGTGTAAACTAACAGACTATACAGATTTTCCGTCCGCCACCCTTCTCCTCCTATCAAGCATAAGACAGAAGTTTTAATTTTCAAGGCCTTGTAATAATTCTTTTGCTATGAATTTTCTGTTATACGCTGACAGGATGTTAGTGTCCAACATTATCAGGATACGATGCTAACTTTCACTTCCTAGCTGTTGGATTAAAAATGAGAATTAAAATATTTCTCTGTCACTACTCCTTAAGGCTACGGGAAGCATTTCCAAGCATAAAGAAAATTACCTTCATCAAATTCCTTTCTAATATCAATATCCCTTGCAAAAAGCTTCACAGGATTTAGACTGCGTACCAAGATTACGACTTGTTGTGGTGTCTAACCTTGCCTGCTACTGTATCTACCCATTTAGTGACTTTTACAAGGTAACCGGCTACTTCTAAACATGTTTTTAAAAGCATGGTGTGCATTATTCTGGGCCAGCTGTGGAAGTGAAACAGAAGAATAAACAAGAAAATGGAGATCCAAATACCTTGGGGCTGAAAGGGAATGTGTGTATTTGTTGCTGTTGGTTTTTATATCAGAAAGATTCAGCATTTTGAGCACGATAACTTAGCTCCACGCACCTCCATGTTGCTTCCAGAAGCCAAGCCAGCTCAGGTATCTCAGCAATACAGCAATATAACCTCTTTTGCTTTCTTTGTACTCTTTCCCCACCCTCTCCTGATTTGTTTCCATCTGTTAAATATCTTACATTCAAACTGCAAGCTCTTTGGGGCTGGGGCTGTCCTTTTCTTCCAAGTTTCCTGAAGACCAAAAGCCATGACTCAGGTTCCTCAGGTGCTGCACACACTAATTAATAAGACAATAACCCTGAGGCAAATGGAGAGCTCATGAAGTTGTTCAAAAATTCAGTAGCTGAGCAGGCGGGCAATACACACTAGCACCTGGAAACCAGCAGGGCTTGGAGGAGGACTGAGAGCAGGACTGAGGTCAACGGAGGTGGACATCATATTGCAGGTGAAGAATTCCAGATAAAGAGTTAAAACAAAAGTAAACAGGCAAAAGAATGGAGGTAGCAATATACATATCTAGTAACACAGAGAATAGGAGTAAAGTCCATGACCAAGGTAAGCCCACAGTTATTGACATGCGAGATACATGAGAAAAAAGATTCACCAAAAAAAAAAGCATATACACATACCTGTAAACCATTTCATTAGGAGCCGTGTCATCAAAGGCATAATCAAATCGAAAAGTTTGGTTTTCTAGGTACCTTGTTAAATCCACCTTTTGTTTTGGTTCATGTACCATCACAACATCTTTACTAGGAATTGTTATTACATCAAGGTCTTTCATTAAAGTTTCTATAAAATAAGTGAAATATATATATATTTAACTAGAAACACATCATTATTTTTTACATTTTTTCATTGTTTACACTCTTGTAACATCTCAGATAACACAGCTCCTCCAAGTAACAACACTGCAATGGATTTAGGCTTCTGATACCTACATAGTAATCTGCTAAGTAAGAGATTTTGTTTTGGAAGTCTAGTCATCCTACCCTACCAATTGCTAGAAATTAAAAGAGAGGTTGTACAAAGTTGATTAGAAAAACTAACATCATCAATCATAGCACTATCATCGTAGCTTGTTATGTATTCTACAATAACACTTTCCATGGATTTGAGTTCTTTTTCCTCAGGGCTTCTATACTGTTTTACAGATTACTGCCATATTCTTTGAGTTTTTATACATAACTTCTCTACTGGAGAAACTGGACACTGAAGTCCTATTCTGCTTGGGCTGTCAAAAACACAAAGAAATTAATATCCTTATGATAATCTGCTTTATTTTAAAATTTTGTCTTTTTATTTTCCCTAAATCCTTAACGTTATAGTCATATGTTCACAGCTTTCAAAAAGAAAAATTTTGCTTTCATTCTACACAGACATTTTCATTTGTGTATTCCTCCCAGAACCTAAAGTATACATCTTTAATATAGAATTTCTCTTAAGTAAAATCCTTTCTAAAAATTATCTTGTAAACAGAAAAAGCTGAAAATGCTAACGATCCTTCCTATCACTGGGAGTGAACAAAAGCCATCTAGATGCAATTTCAGTAGTGAGTTCCCAGGTTATAATTACTACACAGCACTACAATTTATTGCTAATTGTTGTATGAGATATGAGTCAGCAAAACAGAGAAGCCAGTGATCCATGATATGGACAAAAATAAAGATCCTTTGTGTGTACAGTCAGGATCCTAATGTGTCCTACTTGCATTTCCATGTAAAATTTCTTAAGGCATGCAGTTCAAGAATTTGATGTGGCTTTATACAATCAAACAGAAATCTTTTCATCAGTTAACATACTGATCAAACAGTACAACGGTTACCACTGCATGACATTACACACCAACAGAAATATGCATTTAAGTCACTATATAACCAATTTTTCAACTGCACTGCAATAAAATAAAATGCAATTATTCTGCAGTAATCACAGAGAAGAAATAAGGAACAGTGGTGAAAAGACATATATGAAGGTCAATTCTTTGCAGCAAAAGCTTTTTAGTTTAAGCAGTCAAAAGCTGATTTTTCTTAAATGATTGTTTGTAATCAGATATTTACCTGCTCCCAGCTATTTGTTATGACGACCTGTATTCCTTGCTGATGAAAATTTGGAATAGCGTCTCTGAAACCCACCATACATTTCTCAATTGTAAATATATGTGACTGAAATAAAATCTTAAAATGTCAATCTGAACACCTACTTCCTGCAAAGTCAATCCACAGAACGATTGGTGCTGAGAACACCCAAAGATTTTGGTGATACTTCTGTGTTTGTGAGACTGACAAAACAAACTATTTTTATTTTTTCTCTTTGGGGGTTACACACTAGTATCTTTCATTCTTTTATACTCTTCAATTTTAAAAAGTGGCATGAGAAATACTGTTTCTTATGAAGTGCGTGTTTTCAGAAGATTGTATCATGTGGGTACAAGATTATCTCTATGGGTCATCCCATAGATTATTTCATTAATACCTTTTTACTATATCTTATTCTTAAAAATGCAAAGTAACTTTAGTACCAACTTCATTGTTACTTAGACACTCATTTTCCTACAAGCACCTCAACTATTTTTTTAATAGCTCCAAACCACTAAAACCTAAGATATGTAACTTTCACAAAATCAAATCCTACTTCTGAATCCCAACTCATGCCCCCTGAGAACTTGCTCTCATTTACTGTAATTTCACTTTGTTCACCTCCAGCGCAGGTAGAAGGTGACGTTTCCCCCAAATGTATCAGATTTCTAAGTCATATTTTATTAACGATAACCTCCAATGCTGAAACAGAAATTCAACTGCTACCAGACTTGTATGTTGAATGCCCTTATTAAATGGGTTGTGCAAAATAGTTTCAATTAACGAATTTTTGAGATTACGCATTCCTTTCAGATCAACAAAAGAAAAAATACAGGGAATAAGAAAACAGTAGAAGTAAAAATGAAGAAAAAAATTAAGTAGGGGAAGCAGCAACGTGGAGGGAGAAAATAAGACAAAAACTAACTATATACTGGTATCAACATATGTTTTCCCTTTCCCATACAGTTCTCCCATTTTCCTCTGGATACGCTCCAGATAATCCTCAATGTGTAGTTCTGACAATACAAAAATAATAAATGCATCCCATGTTGTTTCAGAGTCAGAGCGATGTTCTTTGAGTCCTTTAGCTAAACAAAATATAACAGAAAGAGAAGGAAAGAAACATCTTTCAAAATGGAAGTCAGCTTACTTAAGCGCTGGATTCAAGAGAGGCTGCAATCCAGAAGCATTTGCATTCTTAACTTCCCACTGAATGTAAAGAACTTCATAGGAAGATTGGGATTGAACTGGAGTTGAAAACCTGAACTTTTTTTTTTGCAATACAGACTCCAGTCTGGTGAGCAGGCAGTAAGAAAAAAAGTTGTAATACTAATCATATATAAAAAAAGTCACTAGGGAGTCATTCCAGTACCTAACAGGTTTTTAGTGGCATTTCATATGCCCTGGGGTATCTTGCCCAGTCCTGAGCAGCAGCTCCAGGGGATACAAGTCTCCAGTTTCTCTGTAATCCACTAGCCCCGCAAGGACGTCTTGGACATGCTTGGTCACCAGGCATGTCATAAGATACAAGTGTTTAAGCACCTGAATTGCTGCCTTGATGTCTGATTCAAGACCACTTGAAAGTATAAAAGTACATGTACAAAAAATGTCTAGGAAAGTTTTCATTGGGTAGCTCTCTGCTCAGGAGATCACTTAAAGGATAGTTTAAAAGAATGGTGATCCTAACACAATGTAAGAATACTGAAGAAATTACAGTAGAATTAATTCCCAGATCAACTAAATACATCCTAGATAACCCTGGATAAAAAGTTTGCAGTCTCTCTGCACTTCTCAGCTCCCAGTCCATGAAATGGTGACAGTTAAACTACTTTTCTCCTCATCTTTATCCAGGTTATGACGAGTCTATGAATTTTCTGGGTCTGTCACATCATATTGTCTAGTATATAACAGAGTTCCATCTTTGATCATTATTTCTAGATCTCTTTAATACAAATAATCCTAATAGAAGCAGCTTTTCAGAGAAAAAAATTCAGCAAAATCTTAAATGGTCATACCTTTTTTATTGAGCGGTCGTTTTCGTACACAAACACATATCCTGTGCTCATCAATCTGCAAAGGAAACAATCTTTCAGTGAACTATACCCCAATTCCAGTTATACAATGTTTTACGTCATTTTACTTCTATTCTTGAATTAATTAACCAATCATTTAAACAAAGAGAAATTTCCAAGACAGTGAGTCATCTGAACATGTAAAAGCCCCTCATGTCTACACAATAGCCAAGAACCCAAATGGGAGAACCACACATTAACAAAACTCCCTGCAAACAGTGATCTAATCCTGTACAGTACCAGGTACATCTTGGAACACTGCAAGTAAATCCAGCTCTAACAGAGTAGATAACACTGTTGACAGAAATTATCACAATCTCTGATTTCCACAGAGATCTGATAACCTCCATCATTTAAGGATTCTGCTCCTCTGACTTCTCTGCAAATCAAAGGCCCTCATCACCTTCAAAGATCAAATATTAATCTTTATACCCAATAGGGTTTTTCAGAGAAGCTTAACGGTTTTGTGTGCACATCCCCAAGAATCCCAGGAAAATTTACAATACAGAGGCTGAGTGACTACTTAGTACATATTGGTATTATTTTACAGTCAAAAGGTATTTAAATGACATAACATAATTAACAATAATTTAGTAACCTAGGACTTTCAACAACTGCTAATTTCAGTATCAAATTACTGAAAAAATAAATCCATGTTATAAAGAATACTAATATATATTAAACTACTTATTTTTCTTGTTTACAGATGGAAGTAATATCGAAAAAATTGAAAACACATAGCAAAAATACAGAAGAATAAAAAGCTTCCACGTTGCTGGGGTACTTACAGGATCTGCAGTTGTCAGTGGTCTATAATCTAAACTTCCCCTGAAATCTCTTATCATACACATAATTTCATAATTTGGGTTTGTAGCATCAACATCCTAGGGAAGTAAGCAACAGAATTTCTAATATACTTTTTTCCTGAAATGGACTAATTTCAGTATCTCTATATTTATTTATAAGAAAAATACACATTAACTGAAATCTTATTTTTTCTCCAAAACACCAGAAATGTCTCAAACGCAAGTTTAATGCCTTTTTCCATTCTGATGTAGCTAATTTACTGATAATAAAGCAAAGCAATTACATGCCTTCTATTTCATGGTTTTGGTCAGCATGTAATAGAGAATACTTTTTAGTTGAGGACTCATTAACAGTCTACTCAAGAAACAGAAATGGCTCCCGCCTTTGCCAGAATCTTCACAATAAGAAAGATCTCCGAACAGCCGCATAACACCAGACAGCACGTATAATCAACACTTCTTAATCTGAGATAAGGCGGTCCAACAGACGAATGGATACACTGCATTACAGAGGTACAAAACACCCCGCAGAGGACAGTGCAGGCACCCCAGCTGCTCTAAACACAGCCCTGCTGGATCCGAGTTGCTTAAAGGAGGCTGATCCTACCACTGCCCCTATGTTAACCCCTACAGCTACTTGGATGCACTGGAAACTCTTCTAACACTCCTAGACACCCCCAAAAAGCAGAAGCAATCCCAAGGATACACAGTAGGCTAAATCCAGGCTCAGAAGCCCTCCCGTCCCTAAACATGGAGCATCAGTACCAGAGTGAATGGACACGTAAGAGACCATGCACAAAGTCCCTCCAAGCCTCGGTAAGCCTGAGCCCACTGTGAGCCAAGTTGGTTCTCTGCTAAATTGCTCAAATGTCCTTCCCGTCAATTCTCCCCACGACTGTCAGTTTTTACACCATTTCAGGACATGCTGATGATGCCATGCATAGCCAGCTCTGGTGCTCAGACCTTATTAACCTTTGCATGGCTCCCCACAAATGATATAAAACTCCTTCTAGATCACAGCTGGTTGCGGAAACAGTGTAGGCACTCTTACAAAGCACTGCATTGGGGTTAACAAGCTGAAATGGAGCCCGCTCGTGTCTCTGCACATGTGACACAGCCGATCCTCACCTCAGATAAAACTGTGCCCTGGTAGTCAGAAGTTGACTGTACCTTGATGTTGTTCAACCTGACTACAGTGAACTAAAAACTGCTGACAGTAAGTCCATACAAAATGTTTTCCTGCTGAAATGTTTCCTTCTAACATTCAGAATGGGGTATTGCTTATTACGGAAGAAGTGTTTGCCTAATATTCTTCAAACCCTGTTTAAAGGTCTTGCCCACTAGAAGACAGTGCTTGGCTAATCATTGCTGCATTTCACAACAACAACAACAGAATACACAAAGCAACACAAAGCACAGATACATACAAGTCACCAAGACAAACAGAACTTCCTCATGCAGAAGAAAGAAAGGAGGAAGAAATTTTTTACGCTGAGGGTGATGAAACACTAGAACAGGTTGCCCAGAGAGGTGGTGGATGCCCCATCCCTGGAAACACTCAAGGTCAGGTTGGACAGGGGCTCTGAGCAACCTGATCTAGTTGAAGATGTCCCTGCTCATTGCAGGGGCGGTGGACTAGGTGACCTGTAAAGGTCTGTTCCAACCCAAACCATTCTATGATTCTATGATACAGAAGTTTAAGACTCAGATGCAAACGGAGTCTTCACAAAAGCAATAAAAAGAAAATTTTAAGTGTAGTACCACATCAAAGAATTTCAATATATAAAGCAAAAAATATTTGTTTCTTACACATAAAGACATAGTAATGTTTTGCATTTGTGTAAATGGATGGAAATTAGAGAACATGAATTCAACACAGGTTATTTTAGGTCAACTTAGGAACATCATTAAACCATGAAGTAAATTGCCTGAATTATTTACTTGGTGGTGGTACTTCTCATGTCAGTAGCGGATTGGTAGTATCTCTTTAGAGAGACTAACACATACGCACAGGGCTGCCAACAAGATTACTGTACTAGTTTTGCAAAAGCTTTTACACCACTGTGACAGAAAGTCACTTAATATTAAAAGATTTTTCTCACAGGATTAGCAACTTCATTTCTTTCACACAAGTTTCTAACAACTTGCTGCCAAATGGCTTGCATGATGCAAAGCTAAATTATAAATGCATAGACAGGTTTAAAGAAAAAAAAGTCACTGTTCAAACTTCAGCCTCAAATACATCTCCCACAAAGCATCAAGGATCATAAAAAACAATTTATCACAATGTTGTAATACCTCCTGTAGAATAACAGCCCTATCTAAAAGCCAAAGGTTTGATTATTTTCAACAATATGTTTTCCCTAAAAAATAGCTATTATCAGTACTTGATCTTTAAAGAACACACAGCAAGATAAGCAATTATAAGCACTTATTTCTGTAGGAAGAAAAAGAGGGGAAAAACTGTCTAAAGTAATAGTTATCAGAGCAATGCAACCAAGCACCAAAATATTTATCAAACTTGTACATAGGACGAAAACATTTAACTTCAGGATTATTACATTTCATAAAAATTATTAAAGACGGAAAAAAGCACAATGATTTTGCAAACTACTTCTCTTGCTGACATACGTTTTCCATCCGAGCTAAAAATACTAACCTGAGCTCTTTTTTCTCTAAGTTCCTGCTGCTGTAACCTTCTTTTTTCACGTTTCTCTTGCAATTTTTCAACCTCTTTTACACAATTAGATTTTCTACGTGCTTAAAGAAAATGATATAATTTTAAAATATTTTCAGTGTTGCATTAATTTAGTATTTACACTGTAACATTTCAATTATATTAATTTATCAATAATTAGAATGCATTTATTTACATCAACTATCTTTTCAAGCAAATCAGTATTAGTACAGAATAATTACGGCAATTTAATTTTTAAAATTTATAAAATGAATGAATTAGAAAAAAATCATGGGAATGGGACAATAATTACATGATCAAAAATATAAGGACAATGACCAACAAAAAATATTTGGACAGATACATGTGATCTCTTGGTTTGAATTAAAAGAAAGCCCAGGCAAATTAAAAAAAAAAAAACACACTGCCATGGTTAAAAAAAGATAAAGGAAAAACAAATTCCAAATACTAGCACAACTATGACAGAAGTGAACATTTGTTCAGCCACAGCTCTCTGACAAAGCTTCTCGAGGAAGCCTACAGACAACTGCGCATGTAGACCATTTGTCATTTATGGACAACAACATAATCCAAGAGAATGTACATGTAACGCCCAGAACGAACGAATCCTTTATACACGGTTTACATACAAGGGGGTCCAAATTCCTTTTTTGCAGCTTGAACTGGAGATATATCTGAAACACTACCATTCTGTTGAGAGGAGGAAGACTGCTCAGGAAGCTGAGTAGGTCGCGCACGTGCAGAACCAACCACTGCAAAGGAAAAGCACAAAGCTCATCTGGACGTGGAATAGTAACATTTCTACCCGATTCTCAAATGCTTTGTTATGACGAGATAAAACAAGGCCCCTTTCCAGACACAACGACCGATTGGGGGTGAGGGGGAGCCGTACATGTAGAAAGTCTATTAATAAAGACATTTGGTATGCAGCCTTTTCTTCCTAGTGTTATACACCAACACAACATAATTATTAAGTACTGATGCTGCATGTGCATATTTTTAAATAGTCTACTACAGAATCAGTACAACTTGTTATGTGCATAGAATGAAGTGTGTACTTGGAGATATGCTGTCCTGAAGCTTAAAATGCTGAAATTTTATTTATATTGTGATTATACCCAAAAACCAAGTAAGAAAAGAAGCCCCACTGTTTCACATTCTCTAGATATTACAAAATGGTCCCACCCCATTGAGCCTGTGATCTCTGGAGGAGCAGAGGGATACAAATGAAAGGCAGCAAAGTGCAGCTCAGTCTGTGAATGTAAGAAACAAACCTTTTTGACACTTTACTGAAAGTGATACAGATACAATCAATACATCTAAACTTATGCATTATTTCTGTATGTGCTAAGGATGCCAATTTCTGAAGATGCAGTGATGTCTGTTTCCAGTGAATGCAGTGGGAGTGGTGAGCATGCAAGCCTCTTTGGTAGAGCTGAATGTTTTAAACTGTTTTTGAAAGAGTTGCTTCAAGCAGCTCTGCTTCAGTGGGCCCCTTTCCTGCACACGTTCCTAACGGAATCTGCCAGAAGAGTATGAAAGTGAAGGTATCAGCTTTGATTAGCAGCCTAGAGATGACATTCCAGACGAAGGCCAGCTCTCTGTGCAACATGGAGACAACTACGGAAGCAGATATCGAATGGGATAGACAACACAAATGCCCAGATCATTCAAAATACGGTAAGAGATCTAGTTTATAGCATAAATTGGCTACACTAAACAAGACAGTGTGCTGAGAAAAGCTTAATCACAAGGCCAACAAAAAACAAATACTTAGGCCAACTGTGAATAGTAAGATGCATAGGACCTATCAAAATACAAGTTACAGGGTTATTCCATACCAAACAGACCATTTACTACAAATGACAACATCTATGGATGTGAGGAGAGCCCATCAATAAAATGTCTCAAATTTAAACCAAATTAGTTCGGAAAAAATTATCCCCTCCTCATGAGATTTCCAATTTGTTTAACACCCCCAGAGGCAAATGGCAGAAGGGAGAAAGTGGTCCCAATTGTCCATGAGAAGAGTCTGAACACTTACAAAGATATGCAAGCCCACTTGCTTTTCAAGTTTAAACAGATGGACTGGAATCTCGTCTGAATTAATGACAGCAGATTAATGTTTGGAAGAAGAATCATCATCATCATCAGTACAAGTTAGTTAAGTTTAACGCACGAGAGAAAATGAAAACAATAAGCAGTAACTATTCTTTCTCATGTTATAGATGCATTACATCTGTATTCATCCAATACATAATTTTCACCTATCCCCCTGTGGTATTTCAGCATTTTTTGTAGATTTTTCGCTATTAACTGTAGAGTGAGAAATAACTCATAGGGCTTAAATACTCTTTGAACAAATGTTTACACGCAGACTGTTACAAAACCAAGCTAAAAAATTGAAAGCATAAGAATTTTAAGTGCACTACTTAGTGTATATTGAAACACTCAATTAAGCTGGAGCAAATTGAGGATGCTTTAGCTTGGAAAAGTCCACACATGATTTAATGTAGCACAATTAATTAACTTAAAATTTTTGCACCTTCAGTTCATTCAGCTTAACTTTCCTAATGCTGTATTGCTTAAACTTGCATATAAATACTGTTCGTACAGTATGAATTCCTGAATATACATAGGAATAATTTGAGGAATGATGTACCACGTCTTTTACATGCCACATGCATACATACCGAATTAGAAATGCAGAACTATTAAAGAATGTTAGATGAGCAGGAGGTTAAAATGTTCCCATATTTTTTACTTCCTTGAAATGGAAAGAGATAACGTTTACCTCTGTTATCTCTGGCAGGTGTGTCATTCTTAATAGGTGCCACAGTTCGTCGACTCTATAAAGAAAGAAATCTCTGTTATGCAACCACCTTGCAGCCCCACCTCTGCTTCTTTCCAGTGAATGAAAATAACACGACATCAACAATACAGAGAGGTGATTGCTGCCAAACCCCTCTCCGAAGAGTCTAGGGTGAAGACTGCTTGAACTATACATAGTGTTTCAAAACAACGTCCAAAACCTTTTCTGTATTTTTCCCTGAGATATATTTAGTTATAGATATTAGTCCCCAAATCCCTCTCTGCCAAACCTGTTCTTAGAAAATTTTTAGAAACCCCTATTCACCATAGGAAAAAAGAAAGGAACACAGTTATCAAGTAGCTCCTCAGACACAAAAGTTGAAGTTTAAAATTCAAGCATAACAACATGTATGGGAGTACTGCAAGTTTAACATGAACATGCTGCACAGGTATTACCAACCTTCACAATTTTGTTTATTTTGGCTGATGGAGTAGGTGGTGGTGGTGTCTCTGGACTAGGTTCAATATCTTCATCAGGAGCAAGATCTGGATTAAGTGAAAATATGCTCTCCAAGTCAATCTGTGTAAAAGAATATAAAACGCATTTATGAGTCTTAGGACAATATTCATTGTTCTCTCCATTTCTCCTGTTATGTTTGAGAATAAACAGTAAATATATTTAGTGTTTTTTAGCCCACAATTTGTTAATTCTATAACCTGAATTATCTTACTTTATGTTCACTAAAAACATCGTAAGCTTTGGTCTTCTCATTAGGTGAAAACACACCCTTCAGAAAAGGGATGAACTAAAAATGACCAATAGATATTGATAATCTTGTAAAGTGATTAAATAAAAACAGAAGTACCCAGTATTACTGTGGTAATTTGACAATTACTGCAGAATATGAAAGACATTTTGTAACATAAAAAGAAAGAGATCTCAGTTATTTGAAATTTCTCAGACAGTGCAAAAGAAACAGATTAATTACAACCACCCAAAAAATAAAAATGCAGTTGAAACCATGTTAAATTTACCATGCTGTTTTTTTTCTTGTAAGTGTTCCTCGTTCAAAATGCCATAAAATGTAAGGGTGCAAGGGGCAGGATCCTAAAAATAGCTGGCTTCAGATCTATTGAAACTTGGTTTCCTAAAAATCTTAAACAGCTTTGGTCTCTATAGACTGCCATTTCCCCTGGCTGGACCTTTCAAAGACCTCACTACTGTATGGATTCTGTGTGTTCAGACGGATGAGCTCAGCTGATGAGATCACCAGGACATTCTCACAATTATTTTTTTCTTTTTCCTGTGTTTTCACAAAACCGGTGAAGTGTAATTATTTCTGAGATGCTTCTCCAAATCTCAGCTGAAACTGGCTAACATGGTCCAAAACTTAAAAGAAGAGGGGATAGAGAAACGTTACACACAAAGACACAGTTTCTCAAGGAAAGCAAGGCTGGAAAATTATTGCCAAAAATAAATAAATAAGCAAACAAACTAGTAGTTCAATTCCTCGATGATACAAACACAAAAAGATTTCTAATCTAGTTCTCCCACTAGGTTCCTGACTGAACTGTAAGTCATTCTCCCCCTCAAAAATTTGATTTTTCTACTTGTAAAAAGAAGATAACAAGGTCAGCCTTTGTAATCTGGTTCAAAATCAACAGATGAAAAGAACTATTTAAAAGCCATGACACAGAGCTCAGGAAGTCAAATTTAATACAACAGAAACCAGCATCTGCCCAACAGCTCCCATGCAAAACATTCGGTAACCAAAGAATCATGAAGTAAATTAAGATTTATATTTTCTCTTTGTTTCCAGTGCGAATTCCAAAGTAATATTCATGCAGATTACACATCTTTAAAAGAGAAAAGTTCTAAAATAATTGAGTTTACCTCTTTGCCTTTAGTATCTCCATTTTCAATCCATTCAACTGTTACGCTTTCATTATCTTCATTTAGGGATGTTACCATAGCTTGGTGAATTCGGCCTAGAAAGCAAACACAAATGATCATTTATTAACTGGTGGAAAAATTTTCCAGAAGTTATTTTCATCCCTGCACTGAGACACGCAGTGAGAGGCAGGAAGAAGAGGGTTAAAAAAAAGGTGATAAATAGAAGATGATTCCTGGCCACACATTGTGAAGTGGCTCAGACCTGATCCACCAGCAGAGGCTCTAACGAGACAGTCAGCATACAAGCGAAAAACTCAATGAACAGAAAACAGTGGTAAGTAAACAAAACACCATGTGAAAGCCGCACCACTGAGACTCTCTTTCCTGAGAGAAGAAAACTCCCAATACCACGAGTCTCCCACGGGCGGTAAAGTCTCCTGAGTTGCACTCCACGAAGGCTTGTTTGTCCCCCTTCTAGGCTGATACAACATTACATGTCCCAACACAGGAGTGAAGCCCCCTGAAATTGTATTCTGACGTCCATTTCTTATGGGCATCCAATCAGTTGGTAATTCAACTAAAATTAGATTGCCTGCAACAATAATACAAATCATCATTTAAAAAAAAACTGTTAACACAGACTGCTGAGCTGGAGTTAAGGTGCCGTTGCTTTGACTTCTCCAGTGAAAGACCCAAAGCCAGCAGGCCCCCATAAAGTACAATAAAACCAGTAAACTTTCAGTAGGAATAAGGATATTTCTTCTTAAATATGTAGCGTACTGCAATTTTTTTATGTCCTATATCCTACACATGTTAGCAAGGAGCAACTGGAAGAACAGAGCAGCCATACACTGACAAAAAAGGATCAAGACCCAGGTGACACATTGACTTCACATTTGTGCTTTGCCCTAAGAGTACCAAGAATTGGGGTTTCTAGAGAACATGAGTCCAATGCAACTGCTCCTCTAACACCCGCTTTTAACAAGCCATAGCACGAACAAGCAATCCCTCACTTCACCCGCCCCGAGCCACCCCCCAGGTGCCCAAGGGCCACGTGCAGCTCCCAAAGCACGAGCGACTATCCTGGAGCAGTCTGTGCATACGCTGCTGCTGCCAGGCACCCACTTAGGGGCGAAAGATAGCACGGTCCTTACACACCTGCTCTGGTCTGGGTCTCCTCCAGCTTGCACCTTCTCTTCTCCTTTCCTAAAGCTCCCAACCGCCCAAATCCACTCCAGTTTTTTCCTCCACCGATTGTTTCAAACTTCTGTTTTAGCCACTTCAGTCATAATTTGACAGTTTTCCAGAGTTAATGTTTTTATACAGTCAGTCTAAGCCTCTTAGGGCCTGCTGAGGGACAGAAAGGAAGAAAAACCTGACTGATATCCCAAATTATCTCACCTAACAGTGCAAGTAACAAATGTATACTGTTAATATTTCTTTTATTGCAAAGGCTGCCTAAACATTCACACCTAGTTAAAATTAAGCAAAAAGAGAGGCTACGGGGAAGTGTCACGGAAGGTAACAGCAAATCTGTGTACTCTACTATATGGTGCAGGGGAAGAGACTAACTGAAACTCAGGCAAGGCGTAGCTCTCAGGGGACTCGCAGAGCAGCCGGCAGCCCTGGGCAGCACTGCTTTCACATTTGCGATGCTTGCCTCACCAGCAAGGTACATTAGATACACATTTCTAACCTCTGCACTTGTCCTTGCCCAAAGCATAAGATTCACTCCACCACTAAAGGTTAAGCAGTTTTTTTTACCCAAAAAAGCAAGCCTCCCCCTTTGCTTCACTTGGTTCCTTTCCTCTAGCATTTGCTAGTTTTTATTTCCCTGACCCGTGTTTTGTCTGAACAAACCCTTCCATTTGTGCTTCCTGAGCACCGTTCTCCCAGGCGCCCTGGCTGCACGCAGGGATGGTCTGGTCTGGATTCCCCACCAAGGCGCTGCCGGCAGGAGATGTGCGGGCAGGGATCAATGCCATGCTCTCCCCTCCATGCACGGGCGCTCCCCCCTTTCCCGTCACCCAAAGGACGTTGTGCAGGCACGCATCCTGCCCTCGGGACCCTGCCCGAGTTCTGCTGGTGGTGGGGCTGAAGCAGACGCACCGAGCATGCTCCCTCACCCCATTTCCTTGGACAAGCATTTTTGTGCAAGTTTTCTTTATGCAAGGTCCTCAATAAACCTCTCCATTATTCTTTTGCTGCATTTAACGACCTCTAGGGACTTAATTTTATGCAAGAACACTCTGTTTCAATTAGCTACCTGGTCTGTTGGTAAAGTAGCAACAGAAGCCACTGTCTTCCTGTAGCAGTGCCACTCCTGCCACTCCTACAAACAGCATGCTGGGACCGCAAGGACACACAAACTTTTCATCGCTGCGGGAACTGGACAACTCCTCAAGCTTACATTGGTATAATCTTTTGCTACTGTTTTAAGGCTTGGCCCAGCCGTCAATCCAGAATCAAGAGAAAACTGATATATGAAAAATACAAGTTTAGGGAAACATATTCTGTGCAATATTATAATAATCTTTAGCACGTTACCAGCTTTTACAAATTTTGAAGAAAAGCACTATTCGCAGCTGAAACCTATGTTAGTTTCAGAGCCACCATAAGTCCTATTACTTGCTCCTGTGCTCTGTTGCTTTTGACAGAGAATGAATAATAATTTTAAAAGGTTTAATCTTTGCCATAAGAAGTGAAAAGAGATCAAAGCAGGCTTATGAATTAATAGAAAATACTGAACCCTCTCACAAACACAGCAAGCCAGCATGCTGTAACAAAAGAATCACAATAAATCTTCCATCTCTGTGCCAGACTTCATCTGCTCCCTGGCCAAGAAAGTCAGGACTGAATAAAAAAAAACATGAACAAAAATAAAAGTTATGTCCATCTTCCAAATATTCTCGGCTTAAATAGAAAACGTATACTATAATGGTTAAACTGGCAATGTACCCATACAATCTGTTCCTAAAAATTCTCTGTGTTACTAAAAGTTTACATGTTATTGAACTGCCAGAAAGCACATTTACATCTTTACAATTGCCTCTTGCTCTCCTCAAACAGTATTCCATTATATTTTTCTAGTACACAGCTGAATACAGCAGCTGTGAAATTCAGGAATGCCAGCAACCAATTAGGCTGGCATAAACCTTGTCTAGCATATAAAGCAAGACCAAGCTGCAAATGCTGAAGCATAAGAGCCAAATCAATCTGCAGAGAGTGGTGGAAGGCAACATTCCTGATTTCTGGTGCATTTTCTAGGGTTGGTAACAAAATTTGAAATGTAAACATGTCCATGTAAAAACAAATGTGCGTTGTGGCAAACTGAAAAAGGAACAACTGACTCGAGAAAGACTATCTTCACACACATCTCACAAAAGAAAGTAGAGCCATAGTGCTGATACACTGACTCTTCACTCGGCATTTCTTTAATTTCTAATGCCTCTCCTCACGTGATTAGAATTCACAGCACAGGCAAAACTTTTTCTGGGAAGTCGCTCCATTGCTATAGTGCTCAAAACTAATGGAGAATTTATTTGAAAAGGCTATTATTTGTGTAAATATGTTCTGTCATACAGTGTGTCGCATCTGGCTTATCTCCTACTGACTAGAGCATGCAGAAAATATTGCTGCAAATACAGCAGTAAGACAACATCAACGTATGTGAAGACAACACTTTACAATTACCGTAAATACACGTATGTTACGATATTCTCACTCTAATCAATAAAAGTGAAGAACATAAACTCTCCATTCCCTCTCTTCTTAGTCATGTGATGAACATTTGACAAACAGAAGAAAGCAAGCATCTGCAGAAAATAGCAGATAAATCCCCTCTGTTGTAAGAGTCCCTAGTGAGCTATTGGTGCAGAAAAAGATTCAGAAAGCAGCAGCAAAAGCAAATAACCAGTGCTAAATCAAACATTTTAACTAACCCTCAACCCAGGTAGCAATGGCAACTGCTCACAAGTACCCAGCTGTACTTAGATCCTTACCTCTAAGCAAACTGAACATTTTCTGCCTGCGGAATTTCTCAAAACTACCACAATTTTGAAGCAGTGATCAATGACAGTACTAAAACCACGGCCTTTTCATCTTCCTAATACTTTTCAGAAACCTAAGTTATCAGTGTCAAATATGGGTTGGTGTTTTCTAAATTACAGTCTGGGCTACAGCACTGGCTGACATGTTACTCAAACCCTTTTGCGCTCTCCCAAGTGACTCAAGAAATAAGGCTGGAAGAAGACCACAGCCTTCCCCACCCTTCCACATAATCAAAGTGCACCCGCCCAAAAACACACTGTACTCACACTTCTCACGCAAAAGTTTTGTGAAGTCTTAGAAATATCTTTGAGCTGTAATAATTAAAAATTTACACGCAGGCTCTGGATCAGGCCATGGAGAATAAAGGTTCATAATTTCCACTATGACCCTCTCATTCCTCCCCAAAAAACAGTAGCAGAACCCAGCCCGGCAGTGTTACCCTGTGACCATCATACAGTTGTTTAGGCCTTGCCAGCTCAAACCCAGGCAATTATTTTTAGCAGGACCAGGCTATGGCAATGTTAACGGACTCAACATTCAGTAAAGGAAACTCACAGCTTATGTTACATCCTCTGAACTTGCCACTTCTTTAGGAGCACAAATGTGTTATATTAGCTCAGGCAGTGGTCCAGTCAGCCGAGCACTTAGTTTTTCTAAGTGCATCAACAGTAGATGTTTCACAGATGAACAAAAATTTAACATCTGCTACAGAGCCTTGCTGAGGATGACCACTGCAACAGAAGCTATCCATCCCTTAAAGGATTATAATAGGCTTTTGTGAAATAGCCAGGATTTTCCTAATCACATTCATGAGGGACTAACATGAATGTTATCTCATCTAGAGACACCTGGACATGACTAATCTTTACCCTCTGCCACTTGCATTCAAAAATTAAAATGCAAAAAGTAGAATTTTCTTCACACTTTTTTAAAAATAATACGAACCCCAAGTCACATATATAAAAAAATTATGTTTAGGAGAAACATGAGGCTGCAAATCCAGAAGCAGCATTTACCAGAATTACTGTGGTCCAGAAAATGTC